CCATTAGTGTCGCCAATCCCCGATTCAGCGTCTGACGACTCTTCTGCCATCTCTATGATCGACTTACTCATTTCCTGTGCTAGATATTTACTTAGGGCATTCTCGTTTATTTTCCTTAATTTCCTGTTTTCCACCTGTCACAAGTCATAAGTATTTAGTGATTCCAATTGTATTCAGTATATCATATATACTCAAATGTAACAGATTCTATTTCTTTAGGATTCACCCCTGAGATGTGCAGTTATATGAATAATAATAATAATTATAATGATGTCAACTACTACTATTACTACTACTATTACTACAACTACAATTACTAACACTACTATTAATTGCAATTAAATTTCATAGCCCACTCATCCATCACCAACCTTCTTCTTTAACTTATCCAACGACTCCTCTTTGTTAGGGGTCTTCCGCTGGCGCTTGGACGAGGTTGAAACTACCTGCTCTTGCCCACCGTGTATCAACTGTAGGTCTCTGTGAGGAAGACACGAAGGACAGAAGGGAATGATACACAATGCAAGGATGCATGGATAGAGGAAGGAGAGAATGAAAAGGTGTGTGGAGAGAGGACGAAGGGAAAGAAAGATGGAAAGAAAGATGCAAAGAGTAAAGAAGGGAAGAGTGATGGCAGAAGGAGGGGTGGAAAGAAAGAAGAGGAGGATAGATATAAGAAAGGATAAAAAGTGAAGGATGATGGTTGAGAGGAAGGAGAGGGAGAGAAGAGAGGGAGGGATAGAGAAAGTTAAGATGGAAAGGAGAGTAGGGTGTATGGGATAAGGAAGAATAGGAGGAGGAAAGAAAGATGGATGGATGGAGGAAAATGGCATGGGAGGATGGATGGAGGGAGAGTAGATGGAAAGAGAGAAGAGATAGAAACAAGGTGAAGAAGAGAAGGAAGGAAGGAAGGAAGGAAGGAAGGAAGGAAGGAAGGAAGGAAGGAAGGAAGGAAGGAAGGAAGGAAGGAAGGAAGGAAGGAAGGAAGGAAGGAAGGAAGGAAGGAAGGAAGGAAGGAAGGAAGGAAGGAAGGAAGGAAGGAAGGAAGGAAGGAAGGAAGGAAGGAAGGAAGGAAGGAAGGAAGGAAGGAAGGAAGGAAGGAAGGAAGGAAGGAAGGAAGGAAGGAAGGAAGGAAGGAAGGAAGGAAGGAAGGAAGGAAGGAAGGAAGGAAGGAAGGAAGGAAGGAAGGAAGGAAGGAAGGAAGGAAGGAAGGAAGGAAGGAAGGAAGGAAGGAAGGAAGGAAGGAAGGAAGGAAGGAAGGAAGGAAGGAAGGAAGGAAGGAAGGAAGGAAGGAAGGAAGGAAGGAAGGAAGGAAGGAAGGAAGGAAGGAAGGAAGGAAGGAAGGAAGGAAGGAAGGAAGGAAGGAAGGAAGGAAGGAAGGAAGGAAGGAAGGAAGGAAGGAAGGAAGGAAGGAAGGAAGGAAGGAAGGAAGGAAGGAAGGAAGGAAGGAAGGAAGGAAGGAAGGAAGGAAGGAAGGAAGGAAGGAAGGAAGGAAGGAAGGAAGGAAGGAAGGAAGGAAGGAAGGAAGGAAGGAAGGAAGGAAGGAAGGAAGGAAGGAAGGAAGGAAGGAAGGAAGGAAGGAAGGAAGGAAGGAAGGAAGGAAGGAAGGAAGGAAGGAAGGAAGGAAGGAAGGAAGGAAGGAAGGAAGGAAGGAAGGAAGGAAGGAAGGAAGGAAGGAAGGAAGGAAGGAAGGAAGGAAGGAAGGAAGGAAGGAAGGAAGGAAGGAAGGAAGGAAGGAAGGAAGGAAGGAAGGAAGGAAGGAAGGAAGGAAGGAAGGAAGGAAGGAAGGAAGGAAGGAAGGAAGGAAGGAAGGAAGGAAGGAAGGAAGGAAGGAAGGAAGGAAGGAAGGAAGGAAGGAAGGAAGGAAGGAAGGAAGGAAGGAAGGAAGGAAGGAAGGAAGGAAGGAAGGAAGGAAGGAAGGAAGGAAGGAAGGAAGGAAGGAAGGAAGGAAGGAAGGAAGGAAGGAAGGAAGGAAGGAAGGAAGGAAGGAAGGAAGGAAGGAAGGAAGGAAGGAAGGAAGGAAGGAAGGAAGGAAGGAAGGAAGGAAGGAAGGAAGGAAGGAAGGAAGGAAGGAAGGAAGGAAGGAAGGAAGGAAGGAAGGAAGGAAGGAAGGAAGGAAGGAAGGAAGGAAGGAAGGAAGGAAGGAAGGAAGGAAGGAAGGAAGGAAGGAAGGAAGGAAGGAAGGAAGGAAGGAAGGAAGGAAGGAAGGAAGGAAGGAAGGAAGGAAGGAAGGAAGGAAGGAAGGAAGGAAGGAAGGAAGGAAGGAAGGAAGGAAGGAAGGAAGGAAGGAAGGAAGGAAGGAAGGAAGGAAGGAAGGAAGGAAGGAAGGAAGGAAGGAAGGAAGGAAGGAAGGAAGGAAGGAAGGAAGGAAGGAAGGAAGGAAGGAAGGAAGGAAGGAAGGAAGTTGCTGCCTTGTTATGCTTCTTGTGAAAAGTGAAAGGGTACCAAGTTATGCTTTTTAAATAAAAATATTACATAATGAATAAACATATATACTAAT